GTATTATAAAAATGATATATTAAAATAGCTCCAACAAGCTAAAACGTAAGCTTTGCGTCAAAATAACTGCATCACAATACTGCTTTCAAGTGTTAAAGCATATAAAACAATTTTAAATGCCTCTGTCTTTAAGAAAATTACTCCAACTGGGACAGAAATCTCTGCCTCGAACATGTGGCTTATTACGAAGCCATTCCTCTATATATTGACATGGGCATAAAGCTGATGCTAAGTGGCGAGGTGAAGAAGGATTTCCACCTTCTTCATCGACTGTCCAGTCCAACCGTCGACGTAAATAGTCCTTTGCCCAACGTTGAACATAACGGCAGAATACTTGTTCACTCTTATCCTGATAGATTTTATTTTATTTTTTAGGAAACAAAATAAAATACTATTATACAAATTTATATGTAAAAGAAGTGAAGTTTAATTTCATAAATAATAAAAAAAGTAAGAGACATGATACTTTCAATACTAAAAAAATTCCAATGTTATTATATTAAATTCTTATATTAACAGAGAAAAATCCAAAAACTTGATGAGAATTAGTAGTTACCTGGTATAGAAGATGCTTACCTGCTTACGAGAGATTCTGGTAGTTGTGCTGCCTTGTATCACAATATCGCTATCATCAATATCCATTCGTTGTTGTAATTCCCTTTTACGGCGCATTTCTGAATTTCCATCTTCGCCGATCACTCTTCCTTCACGTTCCTCACGTTCTATTACTTCTTGCAACTTTTTCTATTTCAACAAAATGTAACATATTATACAAATGTGATGATTCCAACTAGAAATAATACTTTCACAATATGACAATATAAGATAAACATAAAAAGACTATTACAAAACATGATCAGGCCTAGAAATTTAAATCTACACACACTTCACAAAATATCTAATAACACTTACGATACAATCTGTAGTATCAAAGTATATGAAGCAGAGATTGACTTTATGACATGAAATCTTCCCTCTATCATCCAATCCAAGCAATATTTTATGTCGAAGTAAATGCTTGTTCACTTGAGCCATACATTTCTCAAGATTATGGTTTAATTTTATCTTGACGAACATGCAAAAGAATATTGCTGCAGCATTGAGGACTAACCACATGACGCCAAGGCCAAATAAAGTAAGACCAGTCACTCCAGAAAATAACAAGCCAAGCAGTACAATAAATGCAGTAAAGATCCAAAGAACAAGAATTCTCTTATAGCATACATTGTACATATTAAAACGTACATCATTTACAAGCAATTCCATTATGTGTACGTAATCTTCTACTGTAAGCTGTAAAAGATATATAATAATACTTAATTCAAAGAATTTTATTATAGCAACAAACAAATACTAATATTATCATTTAATAATATAATATCAGTAAATAAAATAATTAAATATTTACCGTTAAACCTTGTGCCATTAATTCCTCTGGTACTAATTCTGGTCTAAATTTAGCTGGAGTGATCCATGGCCATCTAGTGTTAACTGGTAAAAGAGTAACAATAGTATCTCCATTGGCAAAACCTTGTCTGATATTTCCAATAGGTGTGCTTATAATATTGCTCACATTAGTTCGGCCATTAGATACATCTCTGAGATCAATAGTCTTCAAAGAAGCACTTTTAGGATCAGAGATTCTTACTTCGGACGGTACATTAAGTTCTGGACTTTCTGATGTAATGGAACGACTTAGACCTGACCTATCTAAGTTAATCTGGACGGATTCTGTTGGTATCACGGCACCTCTATATTCATTATTCTTAATTTGTGGATCATCTGCCTTTTCAATGGCTTTACTAATTTTTTCAACATTTACTGTAACTGATTCTGGCTTTATTACAGCTGGTGCATTAGTTTTAGTTTTTTCTTCCACACTACCATTATCTTTGATAGGTGTTTCATCCTCAAATTGGACCCAATTTTTTGTTCTTGAGGATATATCAGGTGAATTTGCTTGCACATTATCAATTGTGTCTTGAGAACTCATTTTCACTAAAGGAATAATAACAAAATTAAATTCAGTTAAACATATAAGGGAAAATTTCGCAAACAAATTAACAATCTTGAATTAGTTGCCCATCAAGTGTCATTCCAATTCATAACATTTCTTATTTCCAATAATATGCGCCCGTTTAATTGGATTCATGTTTGGATACTTTAAATAGATCTATATTTTCAAACGATAATTTAAAAAAAAAAAAGGGAGTGCCCATGAACGTGTAATTATGGTGCAAATATATAGTGCATCAAAACAAAACAATAGCTTTTTAAAATAGTAAAAAAAGTGGACAATTAAATCGACTCGTCTTTTGCTCGGCAAGTGATATTTTTGTGAATTTTTGTTACATTATTTAATCTGAAAAAAAGATTGTTGGTACACAGAAAGGACGGAATATGTGCGGGAGACTAAACTCATGTCCAATATTTATTTATACTCGATTCTTATTATCGAAGAAACAGAGATAAAAATCATATAAGATGATAGGAATGTCGTATTGACAGTTTTATCCGCGTATAAATGCATAACTGAGATTTTGTTACCTGTTGTGATATGACCTATCTCATATCCGTGAGGTGAAAAGGTGCGTAATGCACGAAATCAAGGTGTGCAGCATTGGGATGGAAAAAGACGGGTGGGGTAAAGGGTACCTTACGATACCGTAAAATGGTATAGATATGTACATACATACATACACTTTTACCTGCGTAATAATTTACGTAAATACGTTAATTTGATCGTTCTTTGTATATGTTTCATTATTTACGCGTTATCAATTTATCATATAAGTAATAATTGTGCGAACAATTATATTAATTCAAGGTATTTATTAATGTGTCTGTATAATGTATCTATGATAGAATCACGTACTTTTTGTAGTTCCATATACATATACAAACGCATGCACCTATCCATAAGTACATACACAGTTAACGTTTTACAATTAGCGACATACATATTCAAGTACACTACATACATATGTATGAATATAATGTATGTATAGGTTTCTATGTGCATACATACGTATGCTTGTTAATACATATCAAATTAGAGATACACATACAAACGTGCATTTACGTTTGAACAAATGTATGGAGTATGGAACAGTATGGAATATATATCCTCTTCGGCGTTGTGTTTGGTAACCTCCCTACTCCCTAGTGTCACGTTTTTTATCCCCACCATTACATTGCGCATTTAATAGTGCGCAGACCCTTAAAAAAAGAGAAAAAGTGATGAGAATGAAAGAGACAATACCAAAGCAAGCGAGAGATAACCAAGCTGAAAGCTGTAACCAAAGAAGTTAGGGGGATGTCCACGCCCGCGCTTTTGGCGCGCCAATACAAAGTTGTTTAATTGTTTAAATTACAGCACGAATACATACACCGTGAATTATAGGGATCTGACATCTGACACGTTCAAGTTCATTCAGGTGCATCTTAGCACTGTTTCGAACATTCGAACCCAAGCCCAAGGATTCCACGTAAATGTGGTTTCTAACCCAGTGATTCTACGTGAGTATACATATTTTGTCACCCAAAAATGAGGTTTCAGAAGCCTTATTACCATTCCCGCGTCGCGCTCATCGTTATCGATATGGTAAGGATCGAGTATGTATTCTGTATGTATCTCGTATTACGGCATATTTTACGATTTGGAAGCCACAAATTGATATGGCACAATATTCAAACGATGAAAATGATACAATAAAATATAATAGACTGCAATTAATTTGATTAATTATGTTATTAAAAACAGAAGATATCATAATCATTATACTATTATAAGGAATTCTTGCACGTCCAGAAAATTTAATGAGTTGATTCTGTATGATTTATTTCTGTAAATATATAAACATTTATAATTTTTAGATATTACATAAATTTAAATTAATGTCCTTAATAAATCAATAGTTTTCCTTTTAATCTAAAAATGTTTCTTAATGTACTAGCTTCATAAAATTCGAAGATATTGGGATTGTTGAATTAAATATTGTGAATTTGATACTATACAAATATATACGTATACTATATTATACACGATACTATCCTAAAATTATGTTTCTTTTGGGAAATGAGAGGTTCTTGAGGTCATTTGAAGTAACTTTTTCGTTAGCAAAAATGCAATTCACTTTGTGCCAGCCGAGCTCGCCTCTCATTGGTGAGTATTTTTCATAAATCGTGCATTTATTTATGTTTCTTATGTTCCAGGAAACATATCCAATTTTTGAATTCCAGAGGCAGAGTTTGTCACCGAAAATGTTACGCAAAGAGGTTTTTTCTAAACTACGATTAAATAGAGGCTCTACGTCGTGTCGCGATCGTAGTTCAGAACAGTTCAGATTTATAATGATTGATAATGATTATAATGTTCACGCGGTAGATGCGCCACGCCACTGTCAGGGACTCTCAGCGCATGTGTGTCAGCTACCTGCGTAACTTATTTTCTTGACTACGCTACAACCGTTATGACATTGCAAATGCGAATGGAATATATTTATGCGTATGCATACATATGTGTACATACATTAAACGTATTTCTACAGAGAAATTGTTGTCATATTGTTTTACAGTAGATATATGTATAAATACTTAATTTCGTGTGCTACTAAGGAAATTATATAACACAGTGTACGAATACTGTTATTTTGGTGCAATTATAATTTCTAATCAATAATTTAGTACAATGTATTGTCGGAAGATAATTGCAAATGCACTTAAGCATACTCAATTATATACAAGGTCTACTTTAATTGTTACAAATATGTATCAATTAAATCGTTGGAAAAATGCATTAATAGTGTATCTACCACAAATTTCTGACATAAGAAGGCTTTATAACCCTAAGTTTCATGAACGAAGAAAATCAAATCTCTCTCAAACGATGTTTATTTCAATCTCAAGTAGTTTTTTATTTACTCTGTTTGGTTCTGAAGATAAAGAGAAAGATGATGAGGCAGAATTAATAATGACAATTAAACGATCAATTTTAGCGATTCAGGTTAAGTATAACAAATAATAATACTATACATATTTTAACTGTCGATGACAACGTAAACAGACAGGGTTGAGTTAAAAACGAATGTTTTGTTTTAATATAGTTTCATCGGTGTTTCTTTTCCCTTTATAGAAGGGAGAATATAAAAAAGCAGAACAAATGTTACATATTGCTTTGCGACAAGCTCAGACTTTACAACATTATAATGGTATAACATATGTTTATGATGTAATGGCTAATCTTGCAATGAATGTAAGTGACTATAAGAAAGCAGAGAAACTGTTTGTATCAGTTCTGCAAAGATTATTGTCAAAAGGAGTAGCTCAAGATGATTTGGCAGTTATTCATATTAGTTTAAAAATTGCTGACATGTATGGCAAAATGGGAGAAACAGAGTAAGCAAATGGATTCAATATTATACATAATATTTTACATTATGTAACACTTTATTTGTTAATATAGGAAGGCTGAAAATGGTTTCCTGTTTTGCTTACAACATTTAAAAAATCACATGGCTAAGGATCCCAAGAATCCAAATATTTTACAATTACTAGGTTTAGCTTCAGAATGGTATGGCAGTTTTCTTTATGCACAATCTAAATATGTTGATGCTCTTGTGTACTTATCTGAAGCATACAACATAGCTGTAAAAATTCTTGATAAAGAAGATGAACAAATCGTTGTGCTGCTAAATAATTTAGGAATTGTAAATTGTATGATAAAGGAATATGAGCAAGCCATTAAATATTTAACTGAAGCTATAGAAATAGGTAATATACATCAAATGGTTAATAATAATCTTCTAACTGTTAAATTTAGAATAATTTCAACAGCGATATATTATGTTTTCAGGGAAAAAATTGCCTGAAATGCTTGATATAGGTTCTATTTATGTTAATTTGGGAAATGTATACCTTGAAAAAGGATTATATGAGGAAGCTAAAAAGAGTTGTAAGGAAGGAAAACGTT